TCAGGTCATTGAAGAGATCCACCTTCACCAGAACGTTGATTTCCCCTCTTATACCTGAACACAAGCATATCATTAGAACAAAATAAGTCAGAACTCTTTAATATTACAGACTAAATTTGCTTGTGGACACACACCATGTATAGTGTCGTAGATGGGGAGCCAGCCAGAAATGACAGTAGCAGCTTCACTGCAGAGCAGTGGATCAATGTCGATGTACACCTTTCCTATGGCATCATTAGCGCTGTATGTGTCATGGTCAAGAACAGTTATCTGCAACGGCTCATCCTGCAAATCCTCATCATCCACCTGAGGGGTAAAGGAAAGATGAACAGAGAGAATAGACTCCACAAAAATACAACCTAAAGCAGGACAAGTAGAAAGACCTTACCTCGAATTTGAACCACTCTGAATTCCACTGAGGATTCAGGGATTTGGGGTACACATCCGTTTTAAATGTTGTGTTTCCAAACTTCACCTGTGGAACGACACTTCATAAGTGCTGCTCTATGATAAATCAAGGGATATATTACTTAAGCAGCATTTTTGATCGAATGTGCATAGCAAAGTGACTTCATTAACAGACTGACACTTGACTGACCTCCACAAAGGCGTCTGTGAGATCGCTGGCACGGTCCATGACAGGCAGGTGCCGCCCAGCAACAATCTTCGCCTTTAACTTCCCAGGCATTATTCATCTATTTAAACATACATAAACACAAACATACAGTTTGTACACTGGATCGAGGCAGAAAACAAAAACAAAAAACAGACACTAAGCAACCTGACCCACATCCATACACTGACAGGGACGCTTGAAACAGGTGATCACAACAGGTGCCTTTGACAGACTGGAGGGCGGACAGAAGGGCCAGAGACTACAGATGCAGATAGAAAGCCTTATATAAAATAAACACGCACTCACATAAATAATTAGCCCTATATAATTAATATATATAATATATATTAACATAACATGATGAACAGAAATAAATATAAATATAATTAACATTTTTAGATTAGATTTTAAAATATTTAGTCAAACCTTGCTTATTATAACATGTAACGTTAGGTACATAATAACAAGATTCGTCAAAGAATAAACCAATTTATGATTACGTTCTCACACATTCCCCAAAATAACCAATTAAGTTACATATAATGAATGCATATATCTGCATAACTGCTTTTTCATGTAAAACCACAGAACAGTTAGACATGAAAACATGATCTTTGCATAATGTTGATGCAACAATTAAAGTATACAAGTAATTAAATTTTGTATAATATCTCTGGGTTGACCTTGTGGTTAGCAGATTGGTACCATTCAGCTTTTGTATATATAAAATCTCCCAAGTATTATATTACACCAGAACACCAAAACCATTTATCGAAGAAATAATTCGATAATAATTCTAATGTAATGAATATACGCATATCTCAGTATGGATCAGGCAGTGAGCAGTTTAGTTGCATTCACATTGTTTATAAATCACAGCAGTATTATATTAGACACAAAGGCGTGTTTATTGAATCATTTTCTTATAAACTGTTCAGCTAAATTAGATTATTGTAGTGTTTTTGATCCTGTCAGCTCACCAGAGTTTCACCTTAGCGGTTCAATCTGACATTAAAGTCTCTCCATCGATCCTCGCGCCGATTAAAACGCTTCTTCTGTCATAATTAGATCTCAGGAAGGCGCATCGTCGATTCCGTGAGGCATTTTGATCGCGATCATATCAAAATGTTTATGTTTATGCGGCTAATTTAAAAAATAAATTCGTCTGTCAGATGAAACGGCTCGCGCACGATCAGGCGCATCGCTCGCGCAGGTGGGAGGGGCGGGAAAGTCAAAGCAAGCACATCCGGGTCAAGGACATTCACGCCATTCTTGTTATGAGTTTAAAAATAATTTTTTACGCAAGTATAAATTTACTTTTTTACGCAAGTATTTTAAAAAAGCCGTGCTTTTTTAAAATAAATTTCACTTTCATCCAAAGTTTTGGCCATTATACAATATCTATCTTTAAATCTTAATAAAATAACTGCACAAATAAGCACTGAAGTGTCGAGGATTAAAAGTCAAAGTCTTAAAACTAATCCCATTGCATTCAGAGCCAAATAAGCCAGTGGATGGTGCAGCCAGGCCTGTTATTAGTCTACTATTATTACACACTGCTACCCCACTGGGTCAAGTCACTTTTATTTATATAGCGCTTTATACAATTGTGTCAAAGCAGCTTTACAGTGTTAAAAAGGAAAAGTGTGTGCTGATAATGCAAGAGGACAATAGAAAACAGTCAGTTTATCAGTTATTGTCAGTTCGTTGTTGATTCAGTGACGTCATCATCCAGCTCAGTTCAGCTCTCTTCCAACAGTGTCTGTGCAGTCAAGTCAAAATGTTGCCAGAAATTAAGCGTCCCCAACTAAGCAAGTCAAAGGCGACAGTGGCAAGGAACCAAAACTCCATCGGTGACAGAAATGGAGAAAAAAACCTTGGGAGAAACCAGGCTCAGTCGGGAGGCCAGTTCTCCTCTGGCCAGACAAAACCAGCATAGTGTGGTTTAATTCCAGGCTGCAATGCACGTCAGATTAACCAGAGGACTCATCTGGTTCTCGTGGTCTTGTGCTGATGACCAACGAGGTCTTCACAGGGGATCTGTCTCTTGACATGGTCTCCGCTGACATTCAGAGCTGTAGAGGTCGCCTGGACTGGATCCAGGTGACTGCAGTGACCATCTGATCTGGATACGGACTGGATCTGGGTGGCTACGGTGACTTCAGAATAAGAATAAAACCATTGCCACTGCCATTGCGTGATTCACTGCTATCCTCCTGTGTAGCATGTGTAAACACACATACTTTTATAAAGCACATAGGTATACTTGCACCTATTAATAAGTGGGTCATTCAGATATGTGTAGCTCATGTTCATATTATGCTGTAATATATTGGATAAAGTTTGAAACAGTACATTTTTAAAAAGTATATATTTAAAAAATATCATTAGTTGGACCATAGCCTATTGAATAAACAGCTCTATTAGCAACAGATTTGATTAATCCTCTGATGTTTTGTAATATTATTTGGTTTGTCTCACATTTTAAAATACATTTTGGATGATAAATTACAAAAACTGGTATAATAATATAAAAAAATACATACATATATAGATATATACATACACGCCTAACTGCAGTCACCTTGTTCATGTGAAAACAGTACTATTACAGAGAGACAATAAATAAAAGTATTCAAGTAATTAATATATGTAAAATATCTCTGGGTTCACCTCATTGTTAGCAGATTGGCCCCATGCAGCCTATTTTTTATAAAATCACCAAAGTATTCACTTTCAGAATTATTTATTTTCATCTGATGAACGACAATACATTGACAGCCAATCAGAATCCATCCTGTTTTATAAAGCTCAAGCATTTAAAGTGGCAAATGACAAAACTGCAGTGCACGCTTATAATAAACAGGATTTTATCATCTGTTTGCATGGATGCTAATATAGTTATCATGATATTTATATCTTTATAGTTATCATTCTTGGTGTGAACGGGCCCTTAGGCCTATTACAGAAATGACCCAGTTTGTGTCTAACATTAACTCTTACATAAGCAGGCATCATGTTACCTAAAATCCACACCTGATTTATTGTCATCAAAGACTATTTTTGTATGCATGAGTGGCATCATTTGTGTGCACGCAGTTTGTATGTGTGTGTTAGCGGGATAAGTAGTATGTTTATGTGCTTCTGTTCTAAGGATCAATTTTATATCTCGTAAATATCAGCTTAGTTTTAAATGAACCCTCGGATCAGAGGGGTTTTCACCTCATTGAGCTGACTTAGGTGGAAATGTGCTAATATTGGATCATATATGCCAGGGGATGCATGAGAGATATTCCTGACACCCCAAGCTGCCGAAACCATTCGCCCATAGAGTCTGTCAGTCAGGGCCAGACGGACAGGCGAAGCGGCAGAGCAATACATGACCTGGGAAGCAGACATGCCTCAGCGTGACCATACACCTTCAACACAAAGTTCTTCCTCACTGAATCCCAAAGGACTTTTTGGTAAACAAATAACCTGCAAGTGAGATATCTTGACCTTATTGTGGATGAAAATGTGCAACAGTCCAAATGGTCCTGACAGCGGCTTTTGTATTCAAAACAATCAAGAGTCAAGGATTTAGCCGCAAGTCAAGTCACAGTACAGATTGTTTCAAATCAGCTTCAGAGAAATAAACAAGAAAATAACAGTTTTAATGTGGCAAAGTTCTTCAATTATGAAACGAATACAACTTCACCCATAAAGCATGCTCTCAGTGTCATAGTATCAATAGTGTCATTATTCAGCTCATGTCAGTTCAGTGTTGATTCATCTGGTGGATCTTGATGTGAGAGGACAACAGGGAATGGATTTTTTTTTTACTGAAGGATTATGAACTCTTATTTTGGCCACAAGCAATGATGTAAAGTCAAAATGCCTTAATAATGGATTTGTTTCTTACAAACACACAATGTTTTGCTTCACAAGATGTTAATTGATGGACTGGAGTGGTGTGGATTACTTGTGATGTTTTTATCAGCTGTTTGGACTCTCATTCTGACGGCACCCATTCAGAGGATCCATTGGTGTGCAAGTGCTGTAATGCTACATTTCTCCAAATCTTAGATGTTCTGAAAGTAAGGTTTCTGCATATTTTCATTTTTGGGTGAGCTATTCCTTTAAAGAACAATATGTGTTTCAAACACTGGGATAATATTTTAGGTCCTGGGTGGGCAAATGGTGTTTAAAATTAGAATGGAAGTGAGGTTTGCTTATGAACGTGAGGGTGAGCAGGTGCTGATTGACCTATGACTAATGGACGGAGACTTTTGCTTTATGCAATGTCTTGTTATTTGACTGTAATATATCTGCTCTAAAGAGGTGAAGACTTAATGACCTGCCGTGTCCTGTAATTTACAGATGTGTCTGCCTGTCCTTTTTTGATGATGGAGTTTTACTTACCTGTTCTTTTTCACAATTTCCCATTATAGGATGTGCCGTTTTTGTTTGCTGTGATACATTTGAGATGCATATAAAAATGTATTTTGAGTCATATGCTGTTTTAGGCTTTGAATTGCTTTGTCCTTGTGGCATAGGATACACACACACACACACGTTTACTTAGCTATCTAAATGGGGACATTCCATAGGCGTAACGGTTTTTATACTGTACAAACTGTATTTTCTATCACCCTACACCTAAACCTACCCCTTACAGAAAACTTTCTGCATTTTTACAATTTAAAAAAAACTTTGTTTACTTTATTTTTATACCAGTTTTACAAATGAAGACGTCCCCAAAGGGAGGTTTTTGGAGATTTTGTCAGGTTTAGCTCACTTTTGGGTACAAATTTGTCCCCAAAATATGGTTAAGTAGGTACACACACATTGAGGACAGCTGCCCATTCATTCTCATTCCTGTGTCTGTGAGCTAAAATTACAAAGCTGCTGCCTGTCACACATAAAAAACAATTGTCTCTGTCCTGTTTGTGCTTTCAGAAGCTGTCTTGACCCACAGGCAACACCTCATGTAACAAATCTCTCTGTGTCAGCTATTACTTTCCTAGACATCTCTCAGTGCGGATCAAGAAGTTGATTTAGTTTAGTATTGTGATTGCAACTAATCGTAATTGTTTGTTTTTATTTTTGTTTTCATATATTTGATTTAACAGGTTTCACAATGGCGGACGAGTAAGTGTTTTATGCATTATTTTTCATGAACATGGCATGAACAAACATCTTTGTATAGTTATTTATTTGATATTATTTTCTTCCCTGTTATCTTTGCAACCACCAATAAACATAACATCTGCAGCAAAGTAAGTAAATAGTCTATTGTATATGCGACTGAAATTAGAGTAAAGGGATAAAAGCTTTAATTACATTATACAATAATTTTCTGATAAGGATAATGTGATTTATACTGTGTATTTTTATTCCAATTTGTTATTTAATTTGTGTGTCATCAAAAGCCTCCTACTCCATTGCCCCCTCGAGTGCAAGCCAAGGTATTGTGATTACGATATTGTGAAATATACAGTGATTTCTACATTGTTGAATAACAGAATATAATGCATAAAAATTGGGATTAAATTTGTTCTCATTTTTTTTTAGCCAAAGTCTAAGATTTCTGCATCTTGAAAACTTTCCTTGAAGGTATGATAGTGGTGTGTGTGTGTGTTCTACACTTTGAGAACTCAAAAAGTAAATGTACATGTGGCAGATATACTGATTGCCAGTTTTGTTCTGCAACGTTCTGTTTTCTCAGATCCTTTTGATCCAAAGAGCCATTGAGGTGTTAGAACAGGAGAAGATCAATCGCGATGAGGACAAGGTGAAATATCTGAGCGATAAGCTTCCACCTCTTCAGATAACCGGCCTTTCAATGGAGGAGTTGCAGGTTTGTAAAAGACAACTTCATCAACATATACAGAGTGACAGACACTGACCAAAACGCTAGAGAATTATTTATATGTTTCTTTCTATATTTTTAGGAAATTTTTAATAATAAATTTTTTTTTAGTACTTAATATGTTTATTTACATTTAAAATTATTATATTACCAGTTTGAACTCACTTGGCTAATTTATTGTTTCTTGTGAAGCTGGAATCTACACCCTAAAAAATGCTGGGTTAAAAAGGGACAAACCCAAAAAGGGACAACCCAACCGCTGGGTCAAAACAACCCAATAGCTGGGTCAAAACAACCCAACAGCTGGGTCAAAACAACCCAACCGCTGGGTCAAAACAACCCAACCGCTGGGTCAAAACAACCCAACC